TCCTTTCCATCCTAGCATTTTGAAGAAACACCTGTGTGGTCTTCAGAGTGACTGCTCAATTCAGGAAATATTTCAAAACATGCCTATGGTTTAGCTAGTCTAACTGACAACATCTTGAAGTTGTTCTGGATGTGAACTTCTTGTTAAATTTCTTTGCGATAATACAAAAAGAGCACAAATTATCTGATGACTGTTCCTGGGTGTTGTCAGTATGATGGAATTTTCAATTTTCTATTAAAAAACAAAGCAAACCAAAATGAAAAGGGATCACGTTGGACATGGTATATCTAAACTCTTTTGCCACTTAAGACAATGACATTTTATAGGTTGGAAGTAGAGGAGTAACAGAACACAAGTTAATGCACAACCCTCAGGTTTGTGGATTTTTTTTTTTCTTTAAGTGAGCCAATACACAGAAAACAGTGGTCCTGCATAGTGTACTGAAACTTAAAAATACATTTATTCATTGTTTATAATATCTACCAAGCACCAAGGGAAGAAGAGCAGCAGTTTTATGCTTTGCACTTTGATATCCTCAAGAAGTGTAGAGACCTAGGAGAAAAAAGCAAATTTAGACTAAGATTAAGAGTGAGTGTAGGCTTCCTGAAGATGAAGAAAAATTTTCAACATATCCCAGTCCTTCAGGGGATCTACCCATCAAGAGGCTGCTAAAGCATCTGGGAGTAGCATGTACACTCCTGAAGGGATGTGCAAGGCTTTTGAATGATGCCGAGGGGATGCAGCTGTCCCGTAACTGCCTGTGAACAGGGAGGTAGAGAAGTACATTACCTATATGAGAGAATGAGTAATGCACAGGAAGGACCCAGCAGTCTTGGCCAATTTCAGGAGTGTGACAGAGCACAAGGTATAGTTCCTCTGTTTGAAGGGGTACTGGGTGGAAACTGTTGACTGGAATAATGTCACTTTAAACTCACTGTTTGTATCAGCATGGAGGGTGGGATTGGTGGGATCAAAGCAGTATCTAATGGTGTAATCAGATTCAAATCCACGAAGATGGTTTTGTAGGAGGAAGGAAAATAAGATTCAGTTTTTAAACTATTTTCTCATGTAATCCTTTTGTTGTTTGTTTGGTTCTGTTTCTGTTAGTTGGTTAGTAATTTACTTGAAAGAATCTTGAGTATAAGCATTTCCTACTCTTACAGGAACTACAATACACTATTTGAAGAAATCATGCCATACTGAGTTTGCAGCCCTTTGAGGCAGGACTATGCACTCTTCTAATTCATCTGAAATAGAGCTGCAATTTATTTCTTGACGATTGTTTGCAGGGGTTATAAAATTTGGGCTTTCTATTTGCCTTACTGTACAATACCACAAAACAATTTAGTTCACAACAGTCTATATTTACACAACTTATGTTTGCTCAGCACTATAAAGCAACAACATGAAAACATGCAGCTACAGCAGTTATTACACTCTCCAGGTGATTAAAGTCAATCAACTTTTGGCTTTGAGCCATAATGTAAGTGGTTACCTTCAGAAAGAGCCATCCCAAGCGCACAGGTTGTTGTCATATCGTGATGGCTGATGATCCAGTGACATGAATGCAGCGCACAGTTAAGACCATAGGAGATGTCAATGGAAAAACAGAAGAGTGCACAGAAATTTTAGACAAATAGTGTTGAAAAACATAAAGAATCAGATGGTTTTTTTACAGTTACTCTGTCTCCCTCCTTTATGTTTCATGGTACAAGAACAGACAAATAAATAAGCTCCAAAAATGCATATAATTAAGCAGCATAATTGAAAGAATGATGATAGGAAATCTCTCTCTTCTGCTCTGGCAATGCCAATACATGACTAATAATGCAATCTGATTTAACATTATTAAAATAGAGAAGCTAATGTGCTTAGTTTTGTTGTCTTCTACAGCTGTTCACTATCACTATGTGATATAGTAAGAAGTTTTAAAAGTGTGTGTGTATAATCCTCCACCCAGAACCTTCCAATAAACAAAACAGCTTTCCTATAGAACAGTTTTGCAATGAAATAGCCATTGATGGGAAAGTTAAAACCCGAGATAATGAAAACATTTTTAAATTGGCAACCTCAAGACCTGTTAATTCTATTTCATAAACTGTTGTTGCCCTCTAGTGTTCAAACACGGCTTGTAAATGCCCCTGCAGAAAGATCCAGACGGGTCACCTAAGAGTTCCCTGTTTGTTCTTACTCTAACAAGACAAATGGATCATAGAATCACAGACTGGTTTGAGTTGGAAGGGACCTTAAAGATCATCTAGTTCCAACCCCCCTGCCATCAGCAGGGACACCTTCCACTAGACCAGGTTGCTCAAAGCCTCATCCAGCCTGGCCTTAAACACTTCCAGGGAGGAGCATCCACAGCTTCTCTGGGCAACTTGTGCCAGTGTCTGACCACCCTCACAGTGAAGAACTTCTTCCTAATATCTAATCTAAACCTCCCCTCTTTCAGCTTAAACCCATTTCCCCTTGTTTTGTCATTAACTGCTCTTATGAAAAGTCCTTCCCCAGCTTTCTTGTGGCAAAATGTGTTTCAGTACACCTGAATAGAACCTACTTTTCTTTGCTGAAGCATAAAAAAAGGATTTTTAATGTAAGAACATTTAAAGTTGTTTGTTTCACCCCAAAATTGTGAAAGGCCACTTAGGTTGGCATCCTCACCAAATTACTCACAGTACCCATGCACCTCTCTGCTTTACTTCTGCCGTTCACCATGCTTGATATACATTGCTGTTGGGGTCAGAGGACAATGTTTCTGATTGTATTAGCCAAGTACATGCTCAGTGCTCTGAATGACTGAGATACGTCTGCCTGCCTTCTCCTGAATGTCTCTCTACTGTATGGTACCATATTGATTAATACCAACCATCTCTCCCTTCAACAAATTAGTTAACACAGCAGAAACACGCAGTGAGGATTCAGGGGGTGTTCTCAGCACCTCTCCTGCAATAAGCTGCTGTGATGGTATCAGCAATGCCGGCTTCTCACAAAGTTGGAGTTCTTTTGAGAGAAAATTACTATCAACCTCAGATCTACACCTGCATTTTTACAGCCCACAACTGGGCCTAGTACTTATCATTTTATTAACTCATTTCCCAGAAATGTTCCCTCTCGTCGTGTTCCTTGACCAGAAACCTTTGAAAAGAGCTATTAAAAAAAACCCCAAAACCCAGAAACTAGGGTTAAACAAAGTGCAGTCAACAGACAAGCTGATGAACTGGAAATACTTTTCTTTTGTAATTTTGTTCACTTTTAAGAGGTTATCCAGAATGTTTTTCATTTAAGTACAGTGCAGGACACCAGCTGGTTTTGTATCTAGAAAGAAATTTGCAGCCCCCATATAGTGAGAATTTAACTTCTTGACATAAGGAACACTGACTTTTCTTTGATCTTTGAATAATGGAATTTTCAGATAATTTTCTGCATAAAGTTATTGTTAGAGCTCTCAGAAAACTTGCCTTGAGGCCATTTTTGGATCATGCCTGCTTCCAACTGCACTAAGCCTGACAGATCTAAGAATCTCTTGGACGTGAATCACGTTTAATATTTTGTAATAGAATTATTTCCTTGTATTCATGAGGCACCCTTCCTTCTCTGTCTTGATGATTGTTGTTGCTTATGTTGCCTGCCACACAAATACTTTGAAATCTAGTCTTTCATTCTAAAAACAGGTTTAGACCAGGTGTACGTGAAGGGAATTGTGAATAATATGAACTGGAAGTTGTGTAGCAAGCAATAGATGCTCACGCGTACTTTCACTAATCTCTTCTTGCAGAGGCAAGGAAACATATGAAGCAGCTATGCTTACCACCAGTCATATCAAGATGACCCTAGAAGTGAAGCGAGTGTTCTTCGATAGCTGTTGAGAGCTCTGTGTGGTCAGGAGGGACAGCAAGTCCAGCACTGTTGCAAGCAGCTCTTTTGAGAGACACCAGCCTGGTTAGGGAAGTGGAATGCCAGAAGCATGAAGATAACATAACCTTGTTATCTGCTCCTGCTGACTGCAGAAAACTTCCTTGAGACTGGCACCTTCCTACGACATACCCACCATTTTCCTTTAGAACTTTTTTACCTCCCTTTAGATGTTCAACAAATGGAGACCACACCTTTCTGTGTGTCTTCTGCCAATAATACAGCTGTTGTCTTTGCTGAGCCCCCTCACAAGTTTCTGCCTGTGCCTGCTCTGCGATCAGGTGTTGAGTCTCAACTGTTAGGGACTGAGGTGTATTAGGACAGATTCTCTCTCATGCATATGCCAAGTCACTCAGTCATGCAGTTTACCACAAAAGAGCTTGACTGCAGCTTGCTTTACTTTGATATGATAAAAACCTCTTTCTCTCTGATATATACCGCAAAAAAACAATGTGCAACAGCTGGTGAGCTCTTTGGAAAAGGCAAACAAATTTGCAGTGTGTTTTTAAGGATAGCTTGTGATGTATGCAGAAAAAAATATTAAATACATATATATCTGTAAACTATACGTAGCTAAGGAAAATTAAGCCAACTATGTTATGTGTACTACAATTTTACTGTTTGTACCTAAAACCATTTTGACACAAAGCTCTACTACTAAGTACTCCTTTAAGGCTACAGATAAAGAGAACTGCCAGCCAGTCATGTAACACGAGGGCATTTGGGTGCAAATAGCATTGAAAACACTCACATGCTGCACAGGTACTCAATTTATTTGGTGTACATCTATTTCACTAATCTTGTCACAGTACAGATTAAGTTCTTCAAATGCTTTTCTCTTTAAATATAAGGCCTTCTTAGATTTTAGTGTTTATTTCCCAGATTTAGTAATAAACCAAAAATGATAGACATTACAGTTCAGCGTAGAAAAAGCAGTTCTCTTCCCTACCAAAGACATCTGCCACTTTCCCATTAGTGGCCAAAAAAGGAATGCATCCTCTTCCCAGATTTCAATACCTCCTGTTCCATTTCAGAATTGTCCTCTCAAAGATGAGAGGTGCTCCTCACAATCCTGTTCCCTCTCTCCATCATACATCAGCATACATTCCATTGATCAAGTAATCCAGCCTGGTATAATGCCTCTTTTGAAGAGATTCGTGTATTTTCTTCCCTGTCAGTGCAATAACTAGCAACAAGAATATCACCCCAAAAAGCAAAGCTGCTACAAGGCTGCTTTTTTCTCCCAGCTGAATGACACCTTTCCCTCTCAGAAAACTCTCTGGCAGGTAGCTTTCTGAATCAGATGGGTCATAACCCTGAGGGTCGTTTTGGGAAGCCGTGGAGGAATCACTAGTGAAACCTGAAAAAGAGAGGACAGTAACATGGTTGGTATTGTTGGAAGAGACAGCTGTTGGCTCAGAAGGGATGGCTGGAGTTCTTAGCCCTGATGGGGTAGTAGCAGATCTGGAATTCACGGTCACCCGCTTGGTTGCTGAAGTAGAAGCAGAAGTTGTGGGACTGGAAAGAGGAAGATGAGTAACAGTGATGGTGGCGGCAGGGATACCAGGTTTAGCTCTTCCGTTCGCAGTAGGTGAAACAGCAGCTGCAGTGGTGGTGGCGACAGCAGTAGGTTGAGCACTACCAGTAGGCAGAGATGTTGTACGAGATTCCAGTCTGGTGGTACTTGTAGGCAGAGGAGTAAGAGTAGTACTGCTGGGTTCAGGAACACTAGACTGCATGGCAGGGAATGAAGCAGAGGGGTTTCCAGTTGGAACAGCAGAAGATGTATTTGATGGCAAGCTAATTACTTTCTGCCTCAGGATGGGGTCTGAGCTCTCGGGGTGTTTTGCCCTTTCAGATTCAGGAAAAACTGTATGAAATTCGCTGTTGTCTAAATGCTTGGCCACGTGCTTCAGGAGTTCAGGTGCCTGATGAAAGACAGATTGTTGCAAAGCAGAGGTAGGACTCTGATGGCTAGTCTGACTGTGAGAAATAAAGGCTCCAGCATCTGAAGATGAAGAATACCCTTTTGAAGGCAAGTCCTCCCTTTCGAAGGATGTATCCTCCAGGGCTTGTGTGTCTGGAAACAGAAAGGACTCATCAGGATCTTCCTTTCTTTAAAATATGGTGAGTGACTTTTAAATTCTGTGTCATAAGCCCTGTGAGTCTCAAGCCTGGGCACACCAGATCCTGACTGCCACTTCTTACAGAATTCACCAGTGCAGAGCAAGCCTCCCAGTCTGATTATATTGGTATTGTGTGCATATAAGTATTTTATTTAGCAGTGCAATTCAGAGTGAGTAGGGCCATTGCCTTTAAACCATTCTCAGCCTCTGTCAGTTAAGAAGTAGGTATTATCAACCTCAGTTTATTTGTCAGATGTACACATTTACGCCTAACCAAGAGATTTATATACTCCCCTTTCTTGTAATGTCCAAACACTCTGTGATTGTTTGATACAATTCAATTTGCACACAAAAAATGTTCTTATGATACAAGATGGCAATAATATCCCCATTTTATAGACCTTTTTATACCCATATTGATTTGTGGGAAAGACCCGAGCTCCTACTTCCATGGTAGAAGAAAGCCACTGCTCCGAGAGTCTCTGAGGTATTTGCAGCAAAGGCTTCCACAATAAGCAGAGTGCACTTGATCATTTCTCTGGAAGTCAATATGTATTGCTTGCAAATATTGCTATTTAACATAATCTGGAAGCAAGGCAACAGCATTATGTGACAGAAATTCCATACAATCAAAAATCCAAGCAGCTACCTGATTCTACACAGATATTACAGAGAGACTTTGGGTGAGCACGAGCTCTTGGGAAGACCGGCTCGTTATTGTTCAGATTTTACATATATATACAAATTATATCTATATAAAAATAATAAATGCATGTGTGAATATATATATATATTCATTATCATTCAGTTGTCACACAGAACGTTTAAAAGGGAACATCCTCTCAAGTAGTTCTGACTCTCACTCCTCTTTTTTATAGAAACAAAGAGGTTTTTGTTATTTATTTCAGTTCCAGTGCGGTTAAAAAAGTCCATGACATTTTCATTGTCACTTTTTTCTAAGAAGGAACTCTTATCTAGAGGGATGATTTTCTTTCAGTTTTATTACACGTGCAAAGAAGCCTACTTGGCTGCTGTTTTAATACATATTTCCAAACCTTAAGTCGCCACAAAAAAAAAGAAATGCAAAAAACCTCCCAAAAAATTCACCCCAAAACAAACAAAAGCCAAAAAAAACAAACTCCAAAACCAACAAACCAAAAAACTGGCAATGTTTTACACAAGAGCCTAGCAAAGACTTCCCTGAACCACCGACACCGGTTTTTATTCTAACCTTCCAGTCAGGCACCAGCTTGTTAGCAAAGTAAGATCCTACATAGAGATAATGGACTCCAACCCCAAGGTCTGACTTAGAGAAGAAACATACTCTGTTTTCAGAGGATGGCTTTAAATAACAAAATGTTCAGTTTTGGAGAATCAGAAACTGTATGGTCAAAGACGCCCAAACTCTCAGCTGCTTCTCCAGCTCGGGACACGTTTCCACACCAGGGAGGAAATGCCCTATGGCCACCACCACGGAGTCAGTCCCCACTCACTTTTTCCCTGTTCCCAATGCACTCCCACGAGCGCTTCCCCTCCGTGCGTTTAAACAAACGGCGGAGGTAGCGTGACAGCTACAAAGCACTGACAAAGCACTGGCAGCGAGCCACGTCATCTTCAGTCCTCTCGCCTGGGCGACAGCATGGAAAGCAAGGAGCGTGCACGCAGCGTTCAAAGGGTGGGTGGAGGGAGCACAGGGAGGCTACGCGCCGTGTCCCATGCAGGAGTTAAGTACCGCTGCTACCCTGCAGCACTCGGATTCATTAACTGCCTGCACTCACTAACTCTGCTTCACATTTTCAGCATCAAACATTGACTAGACAGTATTCTTTGTCTCCATTTTAGACTACAAGCTCCCAAATGCAATTCCCCCAGACTGTCACGTGCAAGGTAGAGCTGGGGTACACTAGGATAGATCTGCTTGTTGGTAAGGAAGAACGAGGGCAGTACACAAGTCAACCTCTGAAAAGAGATTAAAAAACTAAAGTGGTCCTCCTGGTGCCTCAAATCCAGGAAGCTGCATTAGAAACCAAACTTCAGATTGTCACTCTTAAAAAACAAATTAAGCACACTTTGCTAGAACCCATCAGTCTTGCCTGGGTATCTTAGTGGGGTGGAAAAGGGAAATACCACAAAAGTACCCGAAGAGCAGGAATCAGAAATGTTACTTCTTTTTCAGCAATAGCTCTTTGCAACTAGGACCAGAAAAGGTTTTACTTCCCAAGGCATAGGTTGTTTCCATTAGTTAGCAACCACAAGAATATTTAAAAAAGGAAAAAAAACCCCAAAATTTCATTATTAACATAGCATCAGTATTTTAAGTTGGTTTATCACCAGTAAAGTGTCTTTCCCCCTTTTAGCTTGGTTTTCAGTGTAACCACATGCAGATTCTCCTATGAAAAAAAATAAAGCTTGAAATGTTTGTCAGTACCAACATGGCTCAGGTGCTACCTTTGAAAGCTTATTAGGAACATAAAGTAAATAAACTAGCACCATCTTTTCATAATTCAATGTCCACAGAAGCTAAAAAATGCAAAATGAAAAATAAATGGTATATGCAACCAAGTTGTTAACTGAGCATTACACTACACGCAGGATGAAAGCAGAAGCACAATTACATTTCTCTCTTCTTTGTTTGCATCCCCCATATTCTTCTAGGGAAGAAATAGCTGGAGAAAAGAGTAGCTGTAATTTTACAGGCGTGCAATTCACTTGTTGCACACGGCTTCTGCCCAATCCCTGTGCGATTGTGCTTGCATAAAAATATTTGGTAACATTATGTGAATAATCTTTCTACATATCCCGCTGTCACTCCTTGCATGGTTCACCTTGGAAAAGTTCTCTTTTTCAGCAAAACTTCAGTCTCTGGAAACACAAATTTTCTGCTCTCTCAAGCAGCCACACTGAAACCACCTTATGAACCCTTGGCAGGAGGACAGTGCAATTATGAGTTTCTTATCTGAGCTGTTCAAATAGGTCTGGTGCAAGTCAGCGTCAGTCAACAAGTCAGACTTGCTATTAAAAATCACACAGCATAAGACAGATAGCGAGAAATTTAGCCTTATCCGCCAATGCTGTAACCCCATCATAAAAGGCCACCAGACTGGTTGGGCACGATTTGCCCTTGGTGAAGCCATGCTGGTTGTCACCAATCACCTTCTCGTTTTCCACATGCCTTAGCATAGTTTCTAGGAGTATCTGCTCCATGATCGTGCCTGGCACTGAGGTGAGACTGACCAGCCTGTAGTTTCCCTGGGTCTTCCTTGTTACCCTTTTTAAAAAATGGGGGTTATGTTCCCCTTTTTCCAGTTTGCAGGAACTTCGCCAGACTGCCAGGACTTCTCAAACATGATGGGTAGTAGTTTTGGACCCACAGATGCATCCCATCAGGTCCCGTGGACTTGTGCACCTTCAGGTTCCTTAGGTGCTCCAGAACCTGATCTTCTCCTCCAGTGGGTGGCTTTTCATTCTCCTGGACCCTTCCTTTGCTTTCTAGGACTTGGGCAGTGTGGCACAAGCCCTTGCCAGTGAAGACTGAGAAGTCATTGAGCACCTCAGCCTTCTCAATGTCCTGGGTGACCAGATCTCCC